ACACAATTAATTCAGCAGTTTCCATAGTAAAATTAATTCAAATAATATTAAATTATTCTCATAAACTAAGGGAAAATCGATTTAATTGATCTTAATCTGTGCTGCTAATTGAGATTGATATATGGGCTGGCGAAAGGAGTTAGAAACTAAAACCTTCCCTTCCATCATTAACTCAAACTAATCATCATGCAGAAATTGGTAGATATTTATCAAGGAATTAGTATATTAACATGAAGGATACAGGCTCGAATTTAATCTGGATCGATATGATCTATGGAATTTTGTGAGTAATATGGAAGACCATTACAAAAACACTTCCCTCCCTTGAATGGTATTTTAAGTTTTGAAAGTTGGATGGGCACGTTTTGAATATGTTTTATTATGAAAAAATAATAATTTTGGTTAGTTTTGAATAATATTTGAGTCTCTACCATGATGTGAAAAATCGCAATATGTTACAATGCTAAGAATATGATCACTCTTGCATAGGATTTACATTTCAACAATGCTAAGTTCAGCGGTGGATCAATATCATATTATGGCATTTGTGCTATGGAAATTACCAACCGATTTTAAATGCTTAGTACTCTTTTTAAACTTTGGTATCAAACGTCATCTAAATTTTGCCAGATTTTGAGATTATTACTTTTATAATACCGAAACAAGTTAGACAAATACCCATATGCAAACTATAACTTTTATTTTATCCCCTATAAAAAAGATCACCCTAACGAATTACTGTAAAAATACTCTGTCTTATGTGGCTTATTTCCTTTTTACAGTATTTTTTCCTGCAGCTTTGGTTGTCGTTTTCATTATTGTACAGTATATCTTCATTACGAGTCTGCTAGCATAGTGAGTACAAGTGTATTTCGCATATATTTTGCTTTTTAAGGAGAAAAAAAGGCGTTAAATACAACTTCTGACGTAGCTAATGCATTAAAAACATTCCGGATTTTAACGCATGAACATAAATGCAAAACGTTGCATTTAAAGTTAGGTCCAGATCAAAAGATAAACTTGTCTGGACGGCTGAACTTCTTGGAGTGCTGGAGAACTGTATCCATTTTTGTTTTTTATTCTAAATGAAAGAAGCCGATCAAATATTGCGAATAATAAGAATCCTCAATAAAATTATATTACCGGTTGCTTCCAAGAAATGGCGATACCGTATACATGGTGTGTCTAAAAACTTCAGTGAATTTTAGGATATCTCGAATGCAAACACACGAGACAAGTTTGAGCGTGCACATGGACGTGTAGAATTGCCTCCAAACGTGTAATACATATGGCTGCAAGTAGGTTTTCATTGCAGTCATTTCAGTTTAGTCTATATGAGATATGGCGTCAAAGGATAACGGAACAATGGCCAACATGAAGTTCTGCTTTAAATTATGGAAAACGGCGAAGATGACGCATGGAATGTTGACCAAAGTGTATGGGAACGATATCGTGAGCAGGAAATGTGTGTGTGAAAGCATTTAAACCAGTCGTAATGGTAAGAAGTCATAAGATGAGCCGCATTTGAGTCGGCTATTTTTCGACAAAGATGGAATCATCCATAAGGTATTTATTCCTGCCGATCAAACCGTGGCTGCCGATTCTACTTGGAAGTTCTGAAATATTTGTTGCAGCATATCCGGTGCTTACGAACAGAATTACATGACACTAGAAAATGGGTTTTTTTCTACATGACATGCTGTATATGATCAGTATGGCATGATCGTTTTGTATCACCCGCCGTATTCTCCTGATCTTGCATCTGCGGACTTTTTGTTTTTTCGGCTGAAAGAGGTCATTAATTAAGGGATCACGTTCTGCTAATGTCTGAGATTTATGGTCGCGTGACAGTTTTTAAGGCTGTTCCTCAACAACACTTTTCCAACTGTTTCCAGAAGTTTTACGAACGTTATCAAGTGTTGTTGTCTCTCATGGAGAATACCTTGAAAGCCAGTAAAAGTAATTCCTATGCATCTTCTGTTCTGTTGTTTTTATTCGAACATTCACCAAACTTTTTAGACACACTACGTGTAATCTATATAGCGTTTTTCTTGCCATGACGCTCTTAAGATTAACGTCGTACAAACGTGAATAATTTTCAAACTGTTCTATTATGTTTAACGTTTCGTCATTCGAAATAAACTTGGACGCTGATAACGGCCATGTTTTTTCCCCTTGAAGACCATGTGACCTACATATATTTTCATCCGCCGAGGAGCAGCATTCGCACAATTTTTGTCCAAGTAGAAACGCTACCTATTTTTAAAAATCGTACGTGGAAGAGTGGTACAATAGCCGTACAATTAATTAATTTTTGCATTTCTTGCCGATACATCTTCAGACTCATTGCACGACTGAATTTTACGAGAAAAACTGGCCAGTGTCATCGGATTATTGAATGTTTTGTTTATTTTCTTTGTAATTTGCCCATTAGTAGCCGAATGGATTAAACCACTGAACACTGGTCGCGGGTTCGTGACAATGACCTGGCCAAGTACAGTTTTTCGAATTTTCTTCACGTGTCTAACACCTAAGTAGAGGACAATTTCCAGTGGAAAGCCCTCTCGGGAAGCATTCTCCTTGGCGGATCGCCCAAGTGTACATTTCGAGAAGCATACAGGCATCTAAGGTGATCAGATGACCATAAATAAAAAAGGGACATTTTATCCTTCAAAAGTACGGCATATTTTTCTCTTTAAATAAAACAAATCCGTCGATAATACTAGTGTAATTTACACCTTTAATTGCTTAAACCAGTGGCCAGTAGCGTACCGTAGTGGGGGCGGCCCGCCCCGGGCGGCACTTTTTAGGGGGCGGCAAAATTTCACAATAAATAATAATGATATCTTGCAAAAATTTGAAACATCCTAATCTATACTTGCATCGCGCCTACGATAGTGCTATCGTCCGGACAGTCCGGGAATCGGCTCGCCGTGCGAATGAACCAGTAATTTTTTCATCCGAGGAAATCCTGCGAAACCTGTTGACCTTTTTTTTGTTTATACGATTCATTCGCGTTCATATACACCACTAATGTCCAATAGAACTATTTTGAACAGGTGGCTGCACTACCACCGAAGTTTTCATTGCTTGTTTTGTGACAAAACTGAATTTTGGTCTTTTAAATTGAATTACCTAAATAAGGGGGGCCGAAATTTTCCTCCGCCCCGGGCGGCTGACATCCACGGTACGCCACTAGCAGTGGCTCCCACCTTTTCTAGGGTGAGGAACATTTTTGTAAGCAATTTTTTTTAGCGAAACACTTACTTAACCTACTCGGCCGCCCGCCAAGCCATCTCATGGAGATCGTTCAAGGGACCTTCCTTCTTAGAACTGGATAATTAACAGGATATTTCCCGATGACGTTAAAGGCAAATTGAAATTTCTATTCTTCAACTTAGATTTTAATAGAATATTAACATCCTATTAATCCAAATTTGTTAGGTAGAGTTGTCTCTAGATTTTTGATATAGTAACAATGACAAGAAACGATGAAGTAATACTGAAATGTGTATATGAAAAAAGTAATCGTTTATGTGGACCCCTCCTGATTCAGCCTAATGGTTAGTTCGGATAGTTATAAAATATCCTGCATCTCAGTTGATTACGCTAGTCTCTGTTCATTCTCCCTTGAATGATATATTCGTTACATATTTAACAAATATGACCAAAAATCAGGAAACCAGGAACTCGGACTGTGCGATTCCTCTCGAAGGAAGTGAATTGAACGGTGACGTTTTCATATCGCTCTTATCTAATTATCATCCTTTAATTTAGAAGATACTGTATATCCGATTAACAAAATTTTGCAGTAACTATCTAATCGTTATTTTATGCAATGAAGTAACACTTCTCCTAATCAATTTGGTTACAAATTACGCGATACATTTTACGTCAAGCGTAACATCATTACGTAAACGAGGCAACTGTAAACTGGAAATTTAACTAAAATGCCGAATTTAGACGATAATCCAAGACAATCTTTATTCAGTTTATCAATTTTGTTCGAGCGATCCAGCTATATATGTATATATACAATACTTTATATGCTTATGCATTCACAATAGGAACAATTTTTAATTTAAGAAGTTAAATAATTCAAAATTTGGTTCCATATTGTAAAAATATTAACTGTTTTCAGCGAGATAATCTTCACCCGGATATATTTCATTTGAAAATCACGAAACACGGATGTCGAATTAATTGTGTATTATATCCACACTTCATCCATTTATTTATGAATTATATACATAAAAATGATTTATATACTTTTTTTGAATGTATTCGACTTACAAATATGATCCACGAGATACCATTTTACTGCTTCGTTACAAACGATGATTCAACGATTAGATATATTGAAAGCAGTTAACCATTAACGATTAAAGTCGATGTTTTCTGATAATAAATTCGCTTTGCAATTACTTTACCATGTAACAAACTTGTTTAATAGGTATTATCAGAATGAATCACAACCACATATTAAAAAAACTAGGTTTTTTAAATCCGAACTGTGAGAAAAAAATGAATGGGAGACAAACGTAAGCATACTTTTAATTTCAATTATTTCAACTTACAGGAATTTTAACTTTCTCTAATTCTTTAGCTATTAATTTAGCCACTTCTGTTTCCATTGCGTTAATTATTCGTGGCTTGGATTTATTGACTATATTTTGCACAATGAGTTTCAAAGCCCAATTCAATAAAACACTAAGTCCCGTAATCTTGTTTACTTTGATATTACCAAAATGCGTAACTTTAAAAGTATCTAGGTTTACTTTTCCATTGCTTTGGTTAAGTGTGGCGTGTACATATACTGACAATCTGTCCAGACTCGCCTGGATGATTCCTTTTATCCAGAAGAATCCTGCTTTGGCTTTATAATCCATACTAATACTGATATCGTTAACGGCAGCGTGGGCCGTGACAGTGAACAATTCGCCGTCATTACTCAATATACTGTCACCAGATCTGTGTAAAGACGACAGACCTTTGACGTATATATTCGATCCTTTAAATTTGTCTTCGTTTATATCTGGAAGTTTTATCGGATCGATTTTCTGAACCATGTCTTTTTCACGTCTGAAATTATTTAGTACTTCATCTATATAATCGTTGGCCACACCATTATCTTCCACTATAGTTTTACAGAATATATATTGAGTTATTTATTAAGTTGTCAGTTAAGTTAGATGTAATTGAAAAAAATACATATACCATATATAAATCAAAATCTTACCTGATACTGAAGAGGAAATGAAGGCCAATAGTAACCAGAAGCATAAAGATGACATTTTGTATTCTTAAATAAAAATAAGTAATTAATTAATTATATATATTACAAATTATGTTTATATGAAAGTTATTCTATTCACTGTTAACTTGAATGCCATCCATTGTCTAATGGGATATCAAGGACAATCCATTAGAGAATACTAGTAAAAAGGTGAGTCAATGAAAAAACCGAATTCATTGTCTACTATTAAAGTATTATTCATCTGAAATTTCACTCGTTTTTTTCTAAATTCTATGAATTCAAGGATAGCAAGAAATCTAACCTCAATTGTATTTGCGCTTGACTGAAATTATCAAAACAGATGTTGAATTTACCTTGACTTGTATAAGTGTCCTGAGAACCTAATGATGATTTATCTTTTTCTTCTTTTATAAGCCAATATTATCACCAGATACTTATTACAAATTTAATTATAGATAAAACGTATAAGAACAGATGTTCTCAGTGTAAAATAGTGTAAATATAATCATCTGTTAACAGATATAAATTTGAAATTATTTTCCTCAAATTTATAAACATGTTTCTTATTACATTAAAGTGCTATGTTAACAGGATCAACCCAAACAGTATAAATTAAGATTAATTTTAAATATAAGAATATATATTTCAAATATTGTTAGAGTAAATATGTAATAAAATTTAAATTTTTGTTTAGAAATTTTGAAAATTATTATTGACTAAAGATATATAAGATGTTAAGATGAATTATAGTAAACTGTTATATCTGCAGAACTTAATACTGTATAAACAGATGTTTGAAAATTCATATCAATGATAGTAAAACATGATTAAAACAATATATACACCAAACTCCTGATTATCCGTACATTATCAAAATATCTTGTCCATGGACAACATAACGAAGACGTGGGAAGCCGTATCCATATCATCAATGTACAAGCAGCATGCTTTCAAGCTCAGCTGACTTTCCACAAAAAAAGGTCTAAAACATCCATGGAAGTTGGCCTCAATTTAAAAATTATATACATGAGAAAATATCACATTTACATGCTATAAACCATTGAAAAATATCCTACTAGTCCTAAAATTAAAATACAGCAATTTGGAAAAAAAAAATGTAAGAATTATACATAGAAATGTGAAATTTAAATTTCTACAGGATATTTTTGAAAATAGAAGTTTAATTTTATGTTTATTGTCTAAATGTACCATACATTTCACTTATGAAACTTGAGATGTCCACCTGCATAATGTTTTAACAGAATTGTGTATATATACTGGACTGCAGTTCATTTAAAACCTCTGAATAGTTTCTCTTTAAAGTTTAGAGAGTTATTTTAGATTATTTGCGTTTTCCGTGCACTAATTGGCACGGATAATTGGAAGTTCGGTATACTGTATAATTATTTCAAATTTGAAAATACAGTAGTTATTTTTGTATTATTGTTTGCCTTTTGCTTTTTGCAGTAGTTTACCATTTTAATATTTAGTGTATAACTGAAGCTTGAAATACTAATAATTTTAAACTGCTATATTGCAAACAAATGACTAAAATTATTAACAAGTGTTTTAAACATTAAATGTTAATGTGTTAACAACTTTATATTGAAGCTGAAAACATGAAAATGCATATTTACTTAAAGATAATGATAACTATAATCAAACTCTGATTATAAGCAATATTTCACAAAGCTATTTTAACTTCTGTTTTGAGACATGATAATTCTGATAATACTAAATGACTGAAAACAACACACATAATTAATATAAAATAAGATAAGCAAGCAAATTCTACTGTATAATTATTTATTATGGATTTTAAAAGGTTTTCCATTTCAGAAATATATTACAGTAGTTAACTTTAAAGGTTTAAAGATGTATTTCCTAAATTAATCAAAATCATTATAAATTTTGGCATTGTTTATTAATAATATGAAATTGAATTGTTTTATAAAAGCTATTTAATTACATTGTCTTTCTAACATTCATAAATATTGTATTAAATACATAAGACATTCAGAAGACATGTAAGAAAATTTGATAAGTAATGATTTCTTAATCAAATTTAAACATTGTGAAACATGTATTTAAAAAGTAAAATTACATGTTTAAACATATATAAATAAATATAAATAAAAATTTGTAATAATTCTATGGTACAATAAGTTTTCAAGATATTAATGAATTTACTATAATCATGTTTAATTTGAAAGTTCAAATGAATTAAATTAAAATTCAAATGTCATTAATCACAAAATACTAGCAGATAAAGTAAAAGGGAGTATGTCACTTTACAGTTTTTCAAAAAATTATGATTCAAATTGAAATTTTGCAGATATATCAGGAAAACCATATTATTTATTTATTATAATGCATAATTAAAATTTTTTGAAATCAATATTTTACAGACTAATTAACTGTTTTTAATCATAAAAGTCATAATTATATAAAGTTCACTGAACAAGAGTTGAGAATAATGATTCAAATATTTTTAAAATTTGAATTTGATTCAGTTTATGAGGAAATATGTTTGAAGAAAATATTTCCTGTTACCTAGACATATCTTTAAAATATCACTGGGAAATGTAATAAAACTTCTAGTAACTAGTAATTTCATTTCTAGTAAATACACTGAAAAGTTTCATTTTAAATTCAAGAACTGAATGAGAAAAACAAATAAATTTATTACATTTTAAATGTTTTCTTGTTCTCTCCTGTATGCTGTATACTATAAAGATATACTATGATACACTTGTTGTCTTGGTATATACAATACTGTACTTGGGAGCACTATGTTGGCATCTTTATTGCTAGACTTATTACACTGTCAGTGGACAAACCAAATGTTGTGATTTTATTGTACTTTTCATAGACGTGATAGTATCAATTTCATAAATATGTAAGTTGAATTACAACCTTAAATTTTTTTAATGTCAACATAATTTAACTTGCATGTTTTATTTCTAAAATATAGTTATATTTAAACAGTTGATGAGGGACTAAGGTCAAAAATGCATTCTTTTTGGAAAAATAAAGTAATTTTCTAAAGCTGATTTGTTGTCCAGTGACGATGAAATAAGTCTAACAATAAAGAGGCCAACATAGTGTTCACAAGTATATATAAATATTATGGAAAAATACTGCTATTTCATATATGTGTATATATACACAAACACACACACACATACATATATATAATTTATATAAAATAAATATTTAATTTCATGTTAAAAGTTCTCCATGATTATCTTACTTTAATAATTTCTACAAATCTTTCTCTTTCTGTACAATCTTTATATATACTTTTAAGTTCTAAGTAAGGAAATTCATTTCCTTTTAGAATATGTAATATTTTTTGAGGATGGAATAAAGACACTTCCAAGAGAATTTTTCCTCTTAACTTTAGTAAGTGTTCAGATGCTCTTAAAATATTTTTTACTACATCTAAACCATCTTCTCCTCCATCTAAAGCACAATGATCTTCATATCTAAAAATGAAACAGAAATAAAAATTGTTATAAGTAAAAGTTTAGCAAATAAAATAAAATAGTTAAACAGTGTTTTGTATTTAAGATTTAGACATAAAATTATGCACAAATATATTATTGTTAAGATTTGAAATATTTAGGAAAAGACTACAAATGATATTAAATATGTAATATGATTTCAAATAGATACATCATATATAAATTTTTATTTTCTTAAATTGAAAATCTCAATAGATATTTAAATACACTGCCACTCCTCACTTAATGATCTATTTTTTAATGATCACTCAACTTATAACCAGCTCAAAGCACAAAAAAATCCCCATTCTTAATCTTAGTCTAGTTTCCACAGTCAGGCTAGTATTTGTAAAATGAAGTGTTTGCAGTCTCCAAGAGTACATATTTTGTTTATAAAATTGCACTTCACTGTGATCCTATTTGAAGCATTTGATGACTAAAATAATAATCTGAAAATCTTTTTTTGTTTTTTAATGAATGAACTATAATTTTTTGGTGTATCATTTTAATAATTTTTGCTGATTATATTTGTGTTGTGTAATTTGTAAGAGATGCAAATTAAAACAAAATTATCAAATTGAAGTTTCCTTTAGATCTCTTCTTTATCTAGAATAAAGAAAAATTATTAAACTTCTTGTATTTAATGGGCAATCTGCTTAATGATCTAGTCATAGAAATGGAACTCTGTTGCTAAGTAAGGAGTGGCTTGTCTAATTCAAAATATAGATGATAAAATGATAACTGATAATTATTAATTAAAATTAAATAAGCATATATTATTATTTTTATGTAAATTAATGTTGTTACTTTTTCTTCATCTTTAAAGATGATTCGAATAAATTAATCTTTTAACTCATATATTGAAACTGCTAGAGAAAAATGTTTATTTCATACTTAGCAACTTTTTAACTAAAATTTAAATAATATCTCAAAAACAAAGCAAGTTATAAATCTAATCAGTTTCATAAATTATCTGTAGATACTAAATAAGTAATATTATAAGATCTAAAAAATAAAATAAATAAATTTTTAAAGTATTGTCAGATCTTACTGCTTTTTAGCAAATAAATTTATATAATTAATAATCATTGGCTAATATAATGTAAAAGATAAACTTTATTAATTAACAATGTGTAATTTATTCTACATCAGATGAACATTATGATGTTATCAGTAATAAAAATTCTGAGATTTTTGTAGAATGTTTGTTCTTAGAGTCAGTAATAAATTTAAATTAAAAGAAAACTATAGTTACAAAATATTCAATCAAAATAATTGGAGAACCAACAAATAATAAAGTAACCACATATGAAATAGTTCAATATAATCCTTAAACAATGAGAGACTATCATATATTTTGTATCCTTAATGTATGTATTTTCTAGAATTTCAGAATGATATACAAAACTATGGGTAATGAGTTGTATAGCTTCCATTTCATTGGCATTCATTCTGTAGAATCATCTGTCTACATTATGCTTATAACCACAACCTTACATCATTAATAACAATGACATTGCAACATTTTCGGAACAGATCCAGCATTTAACTTTTTTACACATGATGATTTCAGTTCCTATAATACGTACCATTTACATTTTTTTTCTTAATGCATTTGGTCTTGTTAGCATTAGTAGGCATTATGTTGAGATTTTTTGAAATAAAGTATTTTCCTTTGTAAATATGAATTAAATCTTATTTTATATCAAAAATATAAAAATTTACCTTTAAATTCATATTAAATGTCCCTACACAATTCTTTAGAAAATATTATAATGCAGAAAAACTTTCTGAAACAAACAGTGCAGACATTTAACAAGTGTATGTGTGTCATTAATAACAATAAAATAAATAAATATGAGATCTATTTTATTTAGTTTCAACATTTTTTTTTTAATTAAACAACATCAAGTCAGAATCATTTTTGTATATTTTTATTTTTCCCCAAATATATAACTGATAATTACCAGAAGAGAAATCTAGCTATACAATAACTGTGATATAATACTAACCTTTTGATTTCAGGCTGCAAATGTCCTATCTCAGAGGTGCATACATAAGGAGGGTTGCTGACAATAATATCAAATTTCATGGATTTTAACTTTGAAATTCCTGAAGATGTTAATTTGTCATGCAAAACAAACAAATCAACTTCTAAGTTTTTTGCATTCCTTCTTGTTAAATTAACAGCTTCCAAACTTTTATCAACTGCTATAAAGCTAACCTAAATATATAATAATTATGAAAGGATTTATAAATTATTTTATTAAAAATTACTATTAAGAAAAAATTAAATATAAAAATGATTTATTATATAAGTAAAAAATTTTTTAAAATAAATCATATTGAATATTGATATTTATCTTTGCTGATATAAAATAATAAGAAAGAAATGAAATGAAAATATTAGAGAAGACAGTCATCAAAGTTACTGAAAAGATAACAGAATCTTCAACAAACTAGAAGAAACAAAGTTTAAAATTATTTATCCTATGAAAAACTTTATATTTCATTCCAGCTCATCCAAAAGCAATAAATTTTACACACCATAATTACTAATTGCTTGTGAAACTTATTTCTATTTATGTTCATAATATAGATTAAATTATTTGACCTAGAATCAAACATAACATAAAAAATTTCATGAAATAAAAATATCAAAAATGACAAAACAGTAAATTTTCAAAATGTAAGCAATCAATAATTCTATTAAACTTAAGAAATTTACTTTTAGTTCCAAAATTGTATGTATATGATATACTATAAAATATTATAGCATGTTTCAAAAATTATATTTTCATGATAAGGGCAATCAAAAAATTACATTCACATGAATAAAGTATTTCTCAATTACATTATATTTTCTGTTTTTCAGTCTAAATATATGAGCAATTTTTAGCTTAAATATAGAAATTCAGAGAGAAAAATATCCATTAATGAACATACTGTAAATACTAACAAAAAACATTAATGTATCAATATCTACTCAACATTTTCAATTATTTTTCACTAAAAATATAAAAAAATAAATATTAAAAAATGATGAATTTATTATTATTATTAAATATGTTTTTAAATTCTGGAAATTTTAACAGATCACATTTAATATTGTTATGTTTATATATGTTAGATATTGAAATTTGGCAGGGACAAGAGCAATATTAAAATCCAAAATGTGCCACTCTCTTGGTTTCAAGTTTTAAGTATCTTGGGACCTTCGTCGAGATGGGAGGTGGTTTGAACTCGGAAGTGCAGCATAAAATTCAATGTGGATGGATGAACTGGAGAAAGCTGAGCAATGTGTTATGTGACAAGAAAGTTAACTGCAAGCTAAAAGGTAAATTTACAAATCGATTGTTAGACCTGTAATGTTATATGGGGCTGAGACATGGGCAATAGCAAGAGCCCAAAAAAGAAAGATGGAGGTGTTGGAGATGAGAATGTTGAGGTGGATGTGTGGAGTGTAAAGGAACGATTTTATTAGAGGTTCTGTTAAGGTGGGTCCCTTGAGCAGGAAGATGCAAGAATGTAGGTTGAGGTGGTTCAGCCACTTAGAGTGAAGAAGTGAAGATTATGTTAGAAAGAGGGTCAGAAAACTGGTAGTATAAGGAAAGAGAAAAAGAGGAAGACCAAAGTTGCATTGGAAAGATAAGGTAGAGGAAGTCTTGAATCAGAGAGGACTTAAGAGAGAAGAAACCCTTGATAAGGAGAAATAGAGGATACATATTAGAGAAGGAAATGCCAACCCCATATAAACATGGGAAAAGGTGAAGAAGAAAAAAGAAGTAGTTATTGAAATTTTCAATTGTCTGTACAATAGCTTGGAATTACTACATGAGATCTTTAAAATTCAACAACTAATCAATTAGAATAATCAAATTAGATAATGACAAACTTAAGTTTGTATAAGTGTAAAATGATAAATAGCAGAATGCATTGAAACTTTAGTATTCTACAAGATTCTGACTTTTAGAATTCAAATTTTTATTTTACTTATTTACATGCAATATATATGATCATAATTACAAGTATTTCTTCTAAATAATAATTGTTATTAAAAACTAGTACAGAGTAACTGCAAATACTATTCTCTTAAGTAGAAATCAAATCTGATTTGGCTAACAAGAAATAATGTCTAAATAAAGTCTGCTCTCAAACTAACAGAATTTAATATGATATTAATAAATGTATATTTAGCATGGAATATTTGTGGCATCAGTTTCTGTTTATAGGATTTTGATTATATCACTAAAAAGATTTCAAATGAATTAACTATCACAAGGTTCCAAATATAAGAAAATAAAGTTTTGGTTGAAATTATTTAAGTTCAGTTTTTAAAAAATATTATTCATAATAAAGTTAGTAATAAAATTTTATTATACATAAATTTTTAAATAATAATTTATTCTAATTACCAAAAGTATTTAATATAAATATTCATAAATGTTTACTAAATTTCTAGAAAATAAACTTCAATATATTTACATATTTTTCTTTGAATTTTTCTGAAAATGTCTTTAAAACAGCCAAACTAATAGCTCCTGTGCCACAGCCAATCTCCAGAACATGACATTTAAAAGAATTTCTAGAATTTTCTGATACATTTGTTATCAAATCATTTATGTTATTAATCACTACATCCACCAGAAATTCAGTTTCGGGTCTGGGTATAAAAACAGGGCATTTCATTTCAAGTAAAAAATCACTTCTGTAAAAACACCAGTGGCCAATAATATATTGAATTGGAACCCTGAAAATATAATCAATATTTATTAATATTATTTTCTTAAAAATACACTGCCTGACAGGGAATTTGCCACACCATGTAGGGACACATCACCAAACGATCGCCTAAATATCGGGCTATAATATGGCTAATTAAATGATTGGAATAAAGTAATTTGACACTAGAGGTAGACGTTAGGCGCCATCTCTTAATTAAATTAATAATTAAAATTAAATAAATAAATCAATAAATAAATTTAGAATCTTCTGGAATAAAAGAACTGGCCCGGGGCGGGACTCGAACCCGCAGCCTCCGCTTGCCGTGCGGCACGCTTACCAGTTACGCTACCCAGACCCTTGAGCTAGTCTTCGCTTCCAGAAGTATATTAGATTTAGATATAACCTTACTTGGTTAAATACATCACTGACTGGGGACGACTCCTTCGCCCACGGCCATAGCGGCACTCAGCCAGCTAACGCAACACCCGGCGAGGTATATATATATATA